CCCCACTACTGACTGAAGTGTGTTTAGGCCATTCCTAAAGGGGTGCCATTAACATGTTGTTATGCTCAGTAGAATTGTAAATTGACTGTTTCTACAATGTCATGCTCATAACTGTGCCTGAACTGCACACAGGGAACTGCTGCTTTTTCTTTCCCAACCATTACTACTGTCATTTTTCGTCTACTTCTTTTGTATGTTTGACACTCTCTTGTGACCCGCTATTTACGGGGTGCCTTGATAGTCGAAGCATTGTTCAAGCTAGTGAGGTGAGCAGACTAAGTCTGATTCCCTGTATGGACTTCCCTGTTGACATCCACCCCTTGGCGCTCGTATTAAGACCTCAGTCGCGAGCGCGGTAAAAACTCTACTAAAACTGCCCTGAAAGTGAAACACAGATTGTGGATGGCTCTATCATTTTCAGAAGAGGAGTCGGGTTGACCTCACAAGAACTTGGTCCACTTGCTTTTGAAACCCCAGTTTCGTCCTTTGTGAAAATAAGGAGGACGAACTTCAGCTGGGAAAAGTCGACTTCACATACCCCCCCCCCTCTTCCCCCCAAAAACCCTCTCCCTTCACGATGAAACCTAAGTTGGGGCATATCAAAAGCAATGTTACAGTTTGTTCACTTTCGTCTGTCCGTGGTTAAAATGTATTCTAAAAGATGGCTTTGCTTAACATTCTATGGTCTTTGCATTCGAGAGTAAAAGCTAGATTACCAACCTACAGAATCTAGATCTAAAACACGAAGAAACCTCTCCCCAAATCCCGACATTGTACATAGTCTTGTGGTTAGGCTACCGGACCCGTAATCGTGAGAGTGCAGATTCGGGGGTTGGAGGCTCAGTCCGGCCCGGCGTTCTGTCCTTGGGGAAATGCTCACACGAGTTTCATATTTGGCTCGACTCTTTCGGAGACGAACGTTTTTGGTTGGGTTTTTTAAATCTGGGGTCCCGCCTCTTAGAAAACCCAACAGTAGATAAGGACGTTAAAGCTACATCATTTCACCGTTTTTATTTCATCCCGACATCCAGGTGGCTTTTCTTTTAGCTCAAACAGTGTTTCCCGTCGCATGACGTCAAGGTATACATATCAAGGGAAAGACCCCCCCCCCCCCTTTCCTCCTTAGCCCTTTTTTCATCCTCAAGAAGAAAGGCCTTTGATGTATCTTACGTGTTTCTTTTCTTTCATTGGAGAAAGAAAATGTTTCTTCCCTGACGTCACCAGTTTGTGTCTACAGTATGCCTTTAAGGACGCTAAATTATTCATGGGGACATGAAGTTTATGGACATACGACAAACTCATGGTTCGTGACTGTATCGTGAGTGAAAGAATGAAAAGTGGTGAATTTGAAAGGACTCGGTTTCTATTCTAACAAAAAAAAGCAGCAGAAATTTTTGTTTCAGAGTTTATTATGAGTATAATTACATGTAAGTGAGGCGGGAAAGCATACGGGAAGAGAGCGGGGGAAACGGGGGGAAAGAGGGGTTAGGGAGGAGGGGAGAAGGGAATTGTTGAGACAGAGAGAGAGAGAGAGTGAGAGAGAGAGAGAGAGAGAG